AGGGAAGGAATTAAGAAAACCTGAACTTCAGTCCTAAACGTGAGGCTCATGGTGTGCCCCACACTCACATCCTGGGGAAATGATGAAGTACAGCTGTTCCTCTTCTCCTTCCTCACAGGGAGACAAAGTTTCAGATACAGTCCCAGCACTCAAAGCCTCAGGCTGGCTCAGGGGAAAGGGATCTCAGGGTGTGTGCCTGAAGCTGAACCATCTGAACACCCAAGGAACTAGTGGCGATGTTCATCTCAAATTTCATGGCAGACACCCCAAAAGTGGGACACTGTGCCTGAAGCCATGTCCTGTGACTGTCCCAGCTCACACAGCAGGTCAGTGCAAGGCAAAGAGCTCAGATCTCATCAGATCCAGAACCACGTTTCAGGCTGTGCCTGGAACACTCCACGTGGCAGCAGCTGGCCCTGGCACAGCCAAAGGAGGTCCTGCTCTCCACCCAGGTCACCTGGCCTGCACTTGCTGTGCTAACACAGGCATTGGCACCATCCACCAACTGACCACAGAACTGAGCCAGCTGGAAAATAATCCAGGGAAAACAGTGTTTTTTGTGGGAGAACAGCCAGGCTGAGGCCTGCCCTGTCACAAAGTGCTGCAGGAGCAGGAATGAGCAGGCAGTGTCCTTCCCTCCAAGTGCCAGATTACACCAGCTCAAAGGATTTGCTAATACACAGCTCCTGGCAAATCCCACTGCTGGCTCCCCGTGGAGCCCCTCACCCTCCCCCAGAGCCAGCACTGCTGTGATCCCTGTCCAGAGGCACCAGAGATCACATCCATGGCTGAGACTATATGGATCATGGAACCACTGCTAGTGTCGGATGGATGCTGACCTTTATCCAAAACCACCAATTACTGATGGAAAAAACAGAGCCAGACACTTCAAGCACACCATTCTCTAACCAAGCTAATGGAAAACTCTCATTTCTTCTCCTGTGGGAGCTGCTTGCCAAGCCCAGCTGGCCATCAGTACAGAGCAGCAGATGTACACACTGACCAGAGGAGGAAAGCAAGCAGCGTGTGCCTACCTTCCTCTCTTCCCGCTCCTCATCCTCGAAGATGAAGCACTGAGATTTCTGTGGGAAAAACAGAATCAACCAGAAACAGGAATAGGTTAAAACTCCATGAGACCAGAGCAGAGCCCTTCAGCTGGAGAGCAGCGGGTCCAAAACATGCTGCAACAGCAAACACACCATCTCCTGACAGTCCCCCCATATCATGGGCACCACCCCTGGATCCACAGCACCAGTGGAATGCCACAGGCCATCTGACAGATGGATTTAGTTTAAATACTGCAGCAGCACAGTGGGTATTCATCCCAATCCCAATATCCTATCAGAGCCGGTAATTCTCCTGCTCAGTGACACCACTGAGCTGTGCCTACACGTCTCCCCTTGATATTTATTATTCCTTTTCCTGACACAAAGAAGTCCTGTCTCCTTGGTACATGGGAATGGATCCTCATGGTTATCCAGGTTGTTCTTTAAACACAAGGGACTTGATCTCCACACTCCATCCTGTCCCCATGCTAACAAACACTCCTGATTTGCATTCATTGTATTTCTCTTACTATTTTGTTTGTTTTTCACTGCCAGTCTCCTTCCTGACCAAACCTGCTCCCAGGGAACTGGAGATCACAGGTGCCTGGGGAGAAACAGCACCTCCCAGTCACTGAGGCAATAATTGTTCATACCAAGAGAGCATTTGATCTCAGCTTGGAGAACAAAAACCTTTAAAATCCATAAAACACTGATTATGTGTGTGCAGTCACCAAGAGCCCAGAGGTGGAACTGGTTCTGTCCAGCCTGGAAGCAGTGATGGACACAGTGCCTGGACCAGCCCCAGGTGTGAGGGCAGGACAGGTGTACTCCAGCCAGGCTGTGTGTGAGCTCCATGAGCTGATCCATCCACACTATCAGAAGCTGATGGCTCAGTCCTTGTTCTTCCCTCAGCACATCCTCTTTTCAGGCTGTAATGCCATCTGGGGATATTTTGGCCACACCTGGGGTTTTGCTTTAGCTGTAGTATATTCCCAGCAAGCAAAAACTGCGTGCATAACAGTGAATTAAAACAAATCTGCAGGAAAAGGATACAGAACCATCAGCCTTGCAGCAGAAGCAATGCCAGGCCATGCCAGGTTTATCTGCAGTTTCATAATCCTCTTTGACTGCTCCATTTCCTCCAGACGGGCCAGCAAACCCTGTGGTTGCAGTTCCCTAGGCTTCATACCCCAGGAAGGACCCAGCTGGGGGAATGCAACAGGAAATATCATGGTTTGGGGGCACACAGACACTGTTTGCACCCCGAGGATGCTGGTGCTGCACCTGCTGCTAGTGCTGTTAATCCTCAGTGCTGTCCTTAACAGACACCTGCTCCTTCTTGGCCAATATCTCCCCATTCCAAATCCGACTGTTAGGAATAGTTCCACCCTCTCTCTCTCTTTCCCTCTCTCTCACACACACACACACACTCTTGCAAAATATTCCTCAGGTTTTCCCTGCTGGCTTCCACCTACTCCAGCCTGGTGCAGAGTGAGTCAGAGTGATCCACAGGGCCAGCCCCTCTCAGGGGAAACCTCCAAAGGAAATTTCCCTGACAACCAGAGGCTGTTTCAAACAGGATTTCACAGAGCCACAGAATATCCTGAGCTGGAAGGAACCCACATGATCCATTCAGTCCAGCTCCTGGCCCTGTGCAGACACCATGACAATCCCACCCCATGCCTGAGAGCGTTGTCCAAACTCTCCTGGAGCTCTGGCAGCCTCGGGGCTGTGCCCACTCGCTGGGGAGCCTGCTGAGTGCCCAACCACCCTCTGGGGGAGAACCTTTCTCTAATATCCAACCTAAACCTCTCCAGCTGCTCCCTTGGATCCCGTCACTGGTCAGAGAGCAGAGATTGGAGCTGCCCCTCCGCTGCTCCCAGGAGGAAGCTGTAAACAGCTGAGGTCTCCACTCAGTCTCCTTTCTCCAAGCAGAGATTTACCACCACAGATAATATTTTCCTACTTTAAGGCTAGAAATGCTCCCATCTCTGCTTCTAGATCATTGGGGTTTGATATTTTACATTCATTATTTACTGCTTTCAGAGCCGTGGCCATTTGAGATCCCAGCAGTCACCTCCAACCATCTTTTGACTTGCAAATCCCAACATCCTTTCACCTGCAGCTCCTCCCTGGACTCTCTCAGCACCTCCAAAACTGCCTTAACATAAAACCTCCTCCTACTCAGCCCTCACCCTGACTCTTATTTCCCAGCCAGGCTTTGTTTGGGATATGGATAATAATTTTTTAGGAGTCCCTGAGCTGAGGGAAGCATTGATGCTCACTCACCTCTTGGTTGTAGACCTGGAGCACCTTGAGAACCGTGTCCTGCTCCCCACTTTCCAGCGTGGACACCACAGCCTGGAGCTCCATTATCCCAACAGCTCAGCTACAGCACAGCCCGGAGGAAGGGGAATGAGGGGATTTCCAGGGTGATGGAAAAGCAGCTCGGCACACAGACCTCTGAGAGGGAAGAGAGAAAGGGGTGGAGAGAGCAAGGAGGGAAAAAACGCAACACAAATAAATCCCAAGTGATATTGCTCACACTGCTGCATCCATAAAAGTGGAGCAGATGGATAACCCGAGCAAAGCCAGCAGCCAGCTTCCTCTCTCTCCCGCTAATCCTCTTCTTCCTCGCTTTGCTTTTCAATGTTTAATATATGCCCTCCCAGGAAAGCACTCAGGGAAAACCTTCCCCCCCCCCCACCAGCTGGGGATTAACGTGGAGCAGATAACAGCAGCTCCCTGAAATAGCTCCCTGCCTCCTCCTCCTCCTCCTCCTCCCCGCCTGCCCTGATTTCTGCTGCTGCACAGGGGGGGAAAATAACAAATAAAGGCAGAAACATTCCCGTGGAGTGACAGGGGATGGAGCGGCGAGGCAGCCAGGCGGGAGAGCATCCTCCGGCTGCAGGCGGAGCTACCTTGGCAGGCGGTGGGAAGCGGAGCGGGGAGGGCTCGGTGCCGGGCTGGATGATGGCCGATGCCTGCAGGCGCAGCCAAGAGGCGCGTCCGGAGCCGGCCGCCCCCGGGGGAGGATGTCCCTGCGGATGCGCAGGGATGATTTTGGATACGGCACCGCTGTAGCGGCTCACGGAGCCACGCGGGCCCGCGGTGCTGGGACGTGGCTCGCACCGGGGGGAAATCCGGCAGATTTGGGCTCGGACATGTGCTCGGCTTCCGTGCTGCCATGAGGATGAGGATGAGCTGGCCCCAGCAACCCCAACAAACCGGGATGCCAGGGCCCCGGGGCTTGGGAGTCACACGGGCTGTCCCCTCCTGCCCACGCAGCCCCAGAGGGGCTTTTTGGGGGGACCAAAAGAGGCAGATCCTGCATTTTGGAAGGCAGAAATCCGCGGAGACAGAGGCTGGGCTGGCCCCGGGCAGGGACACAGCATCCCCATGTGCAGGGGCTGGGATGGAGGGGATCCACCTCTGCTTTTGGGGGATGCCATGACCCAATGGATCACTGGGCATACCCCCATTTCCATACTGCTTCCTCACACTGCCACCTCCTTCCCCCACCATCTGGGTAAATTCCAAACCCCTTTTTTTGTCCCCTGTTTATGTCCCTAAACCCTGCTTTCCCCCCTCAAACCTCTATTTTTGTCCCAACCCCTATGTTTGCCCCCAAACCTCTATTTTTGTCCCAAGCCCCTATTTTTCCCCCAAACCTCTATCCAACCCCTAATTATTTCCCCAAGACATCTTTTTGTCCCCAGCCCCCTATTCTTGTCCCCAGAGCGCTATCTCTGTCCCCAGTCCCCCCGGGTTTTGTCCCCCACGCCCTGTGCCCGGCGGGCGCTGCCCGTACCTGCGGCCCGGGATCCCTCGGGGGCAGTTCCAGCCCCTCCGCCCCGGCCCGGGCGAGCGGCCCGAGGGTCCCGGCGCCGGGGGGAAGGAGGGGAAGGAGGAGGAGGAGGAGGCGAAGGAGGAAGAGCGGGCGGACATGTCGTGGCGGCTCCGCCCGGCGGGGCGGGACGGGCCGGGGCGGCCATGGCGGAGCGGGGCCGAGGTGAGGGGACAAGGGACAGCCACGGGCACGGGTTGGCGGGGCTGGAGCGGGTCAGAGGGAGCAAGAACTCCCGATCCCACTGAACCCCACGGGGGCCTCTTGCCGTGCCCCGATTTCTGCCCTATAGCCCCCCCCGCAAGCCCTAATTGCCCACCTGGGCCCTTTTTGGGGTCCTGGGCTGCCCCCCCAACCCCTAATTGCCCGCCCACACCCTTAATTTGAGCCCCTAAGCGCCCCCCATAAACCCCAAGTGCCCCTTTGAGCCCCCAGCTGCCCCCCTAGCCCCTCATTGCCCCGGAATTCCTGATCCCCCCAGATCCCGGCTGCCCCACAATGGGAAGCGATGCCGGGAGACCCCAACGCGGCCGAGGGGCAAAGGGCCCCGGATTTTGGGGTTTTCACCCAAATCTCACCCCTGGGTGTCACTGCCCATGGAACCCCTGCTGCTGAGCAGCTCAGGGTGCCAGTCTGGGTTCTCGCCCTGGCGAGTTTGGGGGAAGTCTGTGGTGTTTTGGTCACATTTTGGGAGGGTTCCACGGCGCGGAGGGGCTGTGATGGGAACAGAGCTGTGCTGTGGCGGGGCAGGGACGACGTGTGCTCCTCGCTCCTCTCCCCAGGGCAGAGTCCGAGCGCCATGGAGGACCTGCTGGATGTGGAGAACAAGCGGATGGCCGACAGCCTGGCCAGCAAGGTCACCAGGCTGAAGTCGGTGAGTGCTGAGCTCACGGCAGGTGCTGAGGTGGAGAACAGGCTCTGGTTACCTGGGAGTCCTGCAGGGGATCACAGAACCAGGAAAGGTTTGGAATGGAAAGGACCTTAAGGTTCATCCAGTCCTGCCCCTTCCCGTGGGCAGGCACACTTTCCACTAGATCAGGTTGCTCCAAGCCCTGATCACACAGGAGTGTTGCTAAGCTCATCTCCTCAGGGAAAAATTAATGAAAAAAAAGGCAGGTGGATTAATTTTGGAAAATACCTGTGTCTCTGTGTAGCTGTTCTTAAAGCTGGTTTGCTCCTATGAACAACAAACACTTTGATTTAGAGCTTTAAGCTCTAAATTATTATTAAAAGTTTAGTACAAACCATGAAAGAAGTCGATGACTCTGTGTAAAAGGGCAGGCTGAATTCCTGCCATTGTGTCCCAGGGTTTAACTCCCCTCTCTAGCTGGCAGATTTAGACAGCCAGGCTTTATTTTCACAGCTGGAAAACTTCACCTGCCTGACAGGGAAATGCCATTTTCCTTGTTCCTGCACCAGACAAGCCCCTGTGTGTCTGTTGGAGCTGGGAAAGCGGCAGCTTGTTTAAATAATTTGCATTTCAGACTTTAGAGGTTCTCTTTTAAAAGCTCGTTAATGCCCGTTTCCTGCCTTGCCCTGCAGCTGGCTCTGGATATTGACAAGGATGCTGAGGAACAGAACCGCTACCTGGATGGCATGGTAAGGAGCTGGGAGACAGGACAGGGGGCTTTGTGTGCAAATTGGGGAATTGGGATGAGAGGCGGGATGGCAAAGGGAGAAGGGAGAAGGGAGAAGCACTGGGATTGTTGGGGTGTCCCGTGCAGGGCTTGGAGCTGGACTGGCCCATCCTTGTGATGAGCCAGGGAAACTCAGGAAGTTCCGTGATTCTGCAGTGCCTCCAAGGTGTGTTTTCCGGCAGGACTCGGATTTCCTGAGCGTGACGGGGCTGCTGACGGGCAGCGTGAAGCGCTTCTCCGGCATGGCGCGCTCCGGCCGCGACAACCGCCGCCTGCTCCTCGCCGTGTCCCTGGCCCTCGTCCTCCTCTTCTTCATCCTCTACTACCTGGTGTCCCGCGCGGGGACCTGAGCCCGGCCTGGGAGGTGCCACAGGCCACACCCCACCGTGCCTGCTCTCCAGAGGAGCCTCCAGCCACACCTCCGCCTCCCCAGTGACTTCTCCTCCTTCCAGCTCCTCGTCGTCGCTCCGGCTGCGCCCGGACAGCTCTGCCGAAAGGAGTCTGGCTCCAAAGGGATCTCCGTGGGATTTTGGGGTCATGGCTGTGACCTGCTGCCTTGCCCACACCCCGTGGGCTATTTCTAAGGGTCACTTCCACATCGCCTCCCTCAGTGAAAACCAGGAACTGACAAATCCAGGGATTTGGATACTCCGTAACCCAGCTGAGCTCTGCCAGCTGTAGGATTGACTTGCATTCCCTGTGGCCACTCTCCATTTCCCTGGGCTGAAAGGGAACCTGTGCTCTGCTGCTTTCGGGTGGAATTAGCAATGGATCTGGGCCTGGATACTCTCAGATTGTGGCAGGGAAGAGATGCAGGGGAGCAGGACTTCCATTAAACCCTGGCTTGGTTTTCTTTATTGTCCTTGTGGGCAAACCAGGCTGGGCCCTGTGGGAAGGGAGGGCCACAGTCCACAGCCACATGGATTTGCACTTGTGTGGAACCTTCTAGAACCTTCCCACACACGTGCAAATTTAGTTATACTAAATCAGGGTAAAGAAATCGGGTGGCACAAGGTCCAGTTAATTGTGGTTACTATGGCACCCTGGTTTTGGAGCCCTTTGGGGAGATGTAGTGCCAACAAAGCTGAGGTGGAATTCCCCTCTCAGTGCCCTCAGGGGTGGGGGGAATCAAGGAGGGATTTGCTGGTTTGTTTTTGCATTTAGAAGGCACAGAAGGAACCCCTGCCTTGCTTTGGGGGGTGTGTTTGCTTCTCTCCTCCTGTAACAGCCAGGGCTCTGCCATTCCTCCTCCTCTGATTTAGCACACCCTCTTCATGGATGGATGGCTGGGTGTCCCTTTGCTTTCTCCCTGTTCCCACTGGGAATTCCTTTGCCCTGGGGCTGACTCGGGTCCACAGCTATGAAGGGATTGTCCCACATACCAAACTGCTCACAAAACACACCCTGGCTGGATTGGGCGTGCTCTTTTCTACGTTTGGGAAGAAACATGCAGGAAAGGCGAGGAGAAAGGAGGCAGCAGGAACTTCCTCTGGCTCTTCCTGCTTTCCTGGTGCAACGTGGCAGCTCTGGGCTCTTTCCTTTGGGAAGAATCGATGGCAATTCCTGGAGCAGGTGACTCCCGACAAAAGGCCCCTGGAGCAGCCTGGCCTTCACCCTGGCGGAGTTTCTTTTGCCTTTTCTGCTGTAAATAAAGCTGATTTTAGACCTTTTAGCCCCGATGTTTGTTCCTTGTGTAGGTGCAAGGTTGTAGCTGCAGCCTCACAGCCCAATTCTGATGTCACCCGGAGCCACCCCGGGGGACCCCACCTGGTGTCACGGGGAGATGAGCACGGGGACTCACGGGGTCACTGGGGAGGCCTGCGGACAGGTGGACAGAGGTGAAAAGGGACCATGAGAGACACGGGCCCAGGGCTGGGGTGCCAGCCGCCGCTCACCCCTCGAGGGTCGGTGTCCCCACCCATGTCTGTGTCCTCACGGCAGTCCTTGTCGCCGTGGCGCAGCAGGACACGGGCCGCGCCGGCTCCGTCCCAGGCCCCGGTGACCGGGCCCCGCCATGTCCGGCGCCGTTTCCCCGTCGCCATGGCAACCGGGCGTCGCATCGGAAGTGGCGTAAGGGACAGGCCGGAAGTGGCTGCTGGGGCGGAAGCGGCGGCGCGATGGCGGCGGCGACAGCGGGGAGCGGCGCCGGGAGCGGCGCCGGGAGCGAGGCCGCAGGCAGCCCCGAGGCCACCGGCGGGAGCACCGGGGGCGGCGGGGGGCGGCGTCCCCACGGGCCGCTCCAGCGCTACTATGGCCCGGCCACTGCCGAGGCGGCCGAGGCGGCCCCGGACCCCACCGACATCAACGGGCCCCACTTCGACCCCGAGGTGTTCATGACCAAGGTGGGCACGGAGACCCCTCCCGCGGGCACCCCCGCCTCGGCCAGGGCTCCGAGGGGCCCCGGGAGGGGTCTCCGATGGGTGGGAGCGATCTCGATGGGAGGCCCCGACCCTGGCGGCGGAGGAGCGCAGGGTGCCCGGAACGCTCGGAGCCCCAGGATCCTGCGGGGATCCCTGAAAGGGCCTCTTCGAGCTCCTCATGGGTGTGATTCCGTGTGGGAATGGTACCGAGGTGCTGGGCAGCAGCTGGATCGGGGCGTTGGCACTGCGCGGGGACAGCCCGGGAGGGCAGGGGAGGCTCCTGGGGAGCGCTTCCATACCCGGGAGGAATCCGGGGGGGACAGTCAGGGCTCCTGCAGGCAATCTGAGGCTCTCCGACCGACTATGGAGGGCAGTTGGTCTCAAACAGGGGGCTCCAGAGGGGGCAGATGTGCATGCGTTGTCCCCTCAGGTGCGCAGCGAGTGTCCCCTGGGGCAGCTCCTGGCCCGCGAGGCCGCGCTGAGCCGGGAGATCCGCGCCCTGGACAGCGACATGCAGACCCTGCTCTACGAGAACTACAACAAGTTCATCTCCGCCACTGGTGAGCCGCTCCCTCTGGAGCCTGCTGGTGGCAGCACTGGGAAACGGGGATTTGGGAGGGTTCACCTGAAATCTGCTGGTGGCAGCACTGGGAAACGGGGATTTGGGGGAGTTCCCTCTGGCAGCACTGGGAAGCTGGCCTGGGGACTGCGGTGGTTCACTCTGCAGCGACAGCCACTGCAGTAACCAGCCTCCTTCGGGGGGTTGTGGCTGCGCTGTGTTAATTCTGGGCGGGCCGGGAGCGTCCCTTGGCACTTGTCCCGTGTCCCCCAGACACCATCCGGAAGATGAAGGTGGATTTCCGGCACATGGAGGCGGAGATGGACGACCTGGCGGCCAACATGGCGGCCATCAGCGCCTCGAGCGCCCGCGTCAGCGCCGCGCTGCAGGACCGGCACCGCCGCGGCGCCCAGCTGGCCGGTACGGAGCGGGGCCGCCGGGGTGGGGGGTTAGCGGGGTGAGCCGTGTGGGGCAGATCTGCGGCGTGGGTGTCCCCCGTGGGGGCAGATCCAGCAGCCGTGGTGTCCCTGCAGGGGTGCAGGCGCTGCTGCGGAAGCTGCAGGCGCTGGTGGAGGTGCCGGGGCGGCTGCGGCGCTGGGCGGGCACGGAGCCGGCCCGCGCCCTGCGCTGCCACGCCCGCGCCCGCGCCGTGCTGCGCCACTACCGCCACCTGCCCTCCTTCCGCGCCATCGAGGACGAGAGCCACGCCATCATGGCCGAGCTGGCCCAGCGCCTCCGCACACGCCTCCGGTGCGTTCACCCGGAGCCTGCCGACGGCAGCTGGGAAATGCGGGTTTGGGGGTGCTCACGGCAGAGCCTGCTATGGCTTATTCCCTGTTTCTGCCATGCCGCCGTTACCTCCGGGCTCTGCCGGCCACCAGGGAGGAGAAGCTGGACCCCAAGGAGCTCACCGAGTGCGTGGAGATGCTGCTGCAGCTGGAGGAGCCGGCCGAGGAGCTGAGCGAGGAGTTCCTGAGCCAGGCGGGCGCGCGCCTCGAGGCCGAGCTGGCGGCGCTGGAGGCCGAGCTGCCCGCGGCCGACCCCTCGGGCGCGGCCACCACGCCGCCGCCGCCTGCCTCCGACATCCTGGACTTCGTGGACCGCGGCAGCTCGGCCTTCGTGGGCACACTGTGCCAGCTGGCCGGCTCGTACCGCGCGCTGTTCGGCGGGGACGCGGGGCGCCTGGAGCCCTTCGCCGCCGCGCTGGCCGCCCGCTACTTCACGCTGCTGGAGCGGGACGCTGCTGCTGCGCTGGTGGCCCGGGCCGCCCGCGAGCGCGTCGACCGCTACCTGCGCGCCCTGCAGACCTTCTTCCTGGGCTGCCTGGGTGACGTGCGCCAGGCGCTGGCCGCCCCGCGGCCGCCCGGCAAAGAGGGGCCCGGCCTGCCCGACCTGCTGGCCACGCTGGCCGCCTCCGTGCTGGGCCAGCTCAAGGCCGTGCTGGCCTACGTGCAGCTCTTCACCGCCAGGGACGTCGCCTTCGCCAGCCTGCCCTACTTCAAGGTGGAGTGACACGGGGTGGGGCGCTTTGGGGGGACGGGCTGAGGGGGATAGGGGCATTTTTGGGGTCAGTGGAACAGTCTGGGTGGCACAGGGTAGGTTGGGTCACACAGGGTGGTTTGGAGCCCATACAGGGCAGTTTTGGGGTGTGACCCGCCCCCCCATTTGTGGCACAGGGGGAGTTCTGTGTGACAGCAGTGCGTGAGGGACTGGTGGTGGCCTTTGTGCGCTGGCTGTGCCGCACGGCCCGTGGCTTCGCTGATGGCCCAGCTGAGCGGGGAGCTCCCGCTGCCCCCCCGGCCCTGCTGCTGCTCCTCGCCCGTCTCTGCCTGGACTACGAGAACTCCACCATCAGCTACATCCTCACCCTCACTGATGAGCAGTTCCCGCCCCAGGTGAGCCTCTAAATGGCCCTAAGGGGATCCTGAGTGTCCCTGAGGGATTTTCAGGGGAGTTCTGCATGGCCTCAAGAGCCCCTGTAGCCCCAAGGACCTGTAAGACGGGCAGTGATGCTGCTTCAGGCAGAACATCCCACCTGTCCCCAATGTCCCTGTGCCCCCAGGACATCAGATGTAGAATGACAGGGAGGGGAGCCATCTCCACATGTCCCCATGCCCGTGGTATTCCCGGCGGTGCCGGTGCAGCAGAGGAGGCGCGGGGCTGACGCTGGCTGTGTGTGTCCCCAGGACTCGGGGCCGGCGGTGACGCCGGGGCCAGCGCTGTGCGCGGAGGCGCGGGCGGCGGCGCAGCGGCTGCTGGACCACTACGTGCAGGTGCAGGGCGCGGCCGTGGCGCAGATGCTGCGCAAGAGCGTCGAGACGCGCGACTGGCTGGGCACCGTCGAGCCGCGCAACGTGCGCGCCGTCATGAAGCGCGTGGTGGAGGACATCACCGCCATCGACGTCCAGGTGGGCTGACAGCGGGGCTGAGGGGCTGCCCAAGATCTGCGTGTGGCCCTTTGGGGGTCCCAGGAGGGGGTTGTGGGTGCTGAGTGTGTGGTGTCACCCACAGGTGGGGCAGCTCTTCGAGGAGGGGGTGAGGCGGGCGCAGAGCAGCGATTCCAGCCGGCGCGCCTTCTCCGTCTACAGCAGCTCGCGGGCACCCGGCCGCTATGCCCCCAGCTACACCCCCAGGTCAGCCCTGCCACCCCCGGGCTCCCTGTCACTCCTTGAGTATCCACTGCATCTTCCCTGTCACCCTCTTCATGATCCCAAACTGTCCCAGGCTGTCTTGACAGCCCTTAGCTGTCCTCATATCCCCAGACTGTCCTAATGGTGATCCCTGTTTGTCCCAACAATCCCTGTGTTCCTTACAACTGTCCCAGAATCCCCTGGTGATCCCCGTCATCCTTGTGTCCCTCAGTTGTCTTGTACCTCTGTGTCCAGGGACCATGCTCACATTCCCCTGCCTTTCTGTCCCCAAAAGCATCCCTGCATCCTCTGACCCTCTCCATGGCCCCTAACGGTCCCTGTGTCCCTGTTCCCACATTCCTGGCTCTGTCAAGTCCCTGACTATCCCTGTGTCCATGTCCTCAGTGCCCCCATGGACACTCACCTGCTCAGCAACATCCAGAAGCTTTTCTCTGAGCGCATTGACATCTTCAGCCCTGTTGAGTTCAACAAGGTGAGGTCATGGGGACACCACCATATCCCTAAACATCCCCAGAGTCCCAAAGTGGCCACTTTCCCACTGCCACATATCCCTGATGTCAGGGCTCAGGGGGTCCCTGGGAGCTGATGTCCAGGACAAGGGTCCCCTGCCCTAGGACTCTGAGGGGAGGAGTGGGATCACTGTGGGATCAGTGCAGCGACCAGGCCAAGGGTGTCCATGTGCCACATGTCCCTATGCTCAGGAGTTCAGCCAGGACAAGGGCCCCCACATCCCACGTGGACACCATCCCTGTGCCCGTATGCCACGTGTCCCCGCTGTCCCCTCACAGGTGTCGGTGCTGACGGGCATCATCAAGATCAGCCTGAAGACGCTGCTGGAGTGCGTGCGGCTGCGCACGCTGGGGCGCTTCGGGCTGCAGCAGGTGCAGGTGGACGGGCACTACCTGCAGCTCTACCTGTGGCGCTTCGCCTCCGACGAGCGCGTGGTGCAGGGGCTGCTGGACGAGGTGGCCGCCAGCGCCGCCCACCGCTGCCTCGACCCCGTCCCCATGGAGCACAGCGTGGTCGAGCTCATCTGCGAGCGTGGGTAGGGACAGGGACAGGGACGTGCCACACCTGGGGCCTGTTACATCTCTGGGGACAGACCTGGGCCCTGGGAGTCCCCGCACATACATGAGGGGGCTCTGTGTGTCCTTCCCAACATGAGGACACCTTGTCCCCATATGGGGTTACACCATGTTGTTCAAACACCTCCTTGCCCATTGCCTTCCCAGCCCAGTGACACAGTGTCATCCCCCCACCCTGGTGACATCCCCTCGTGCCTGGTGACAGCCCCGTTGTCACTAATAAATTATGTGTGAGTTGCACTGGGTGTTGTGTCCCTGTCTGTGCCTGGGGGGCGGGAGCTGGCCCTGCACACGGGGTTGACTGAGCAGTGACAGGGGCAGGGCACTGAGCGATGTCCCCAATGGACCCACAGCCACAAGGGCCCCAAACCTTAAAAGTCAGACTCCAAAAATCAGCCTTAAAAATCAAAAGCCTCCGTGGATGCTACAAAGTGCTGGGGAACCCGCAGGGACCAAGATCTTCCATAGGAGATCAGAAGTTCTCCCCAGACAGGACATTCTTGCCTCAAGGAATCAGCACAAAAGAAGCAGACTCCAAAACCTCAATTTCTGTAACAAAAAGCTGAGAGGAGCCCAGAGATGATTAAACTCACTTTATCCAACAGTGTTTGGCCAGCTCAGAAGCTTTTGTACAAGAAATCACGGTTGCACGGATACAGACCTGGGTGCACAGGACAGCCAATGGAACTCCATGGGTACAGACAGCAACAGCCAGACCTGGATCTACAGAGCAGCCCCAGCAGCACAGACACTCCAAGATACAGATCTGCACATACACAGCAGCCCCAGCATACAGACACCAGTATATTTAAATACAAAACCTTTTGTATTTAATTTAAAAACAAAATTTAATATTTTGTTTCTTTTGAAGAACATTTGCTGGCAAACAGTGCATTGGCTACAGACACACAGACAGGATCATGTCCCCTCACACAAAGCACAGTATCTACAGGGTTTTACAGGGCTGGGCTGGGTGCAGAAGGAATGACTAAACCACCACGGACTCCTGGAATGGGAAGGCTGAGCTGGAATTTTTGGTTCAATGAAATTGGGTTGGCCAGAGTCCGGTTAGCAGTGGCTCACTGAACAGGAAGTGCTAAACAGGCTGACACGACGAGCTGATGCTGAGCCACAGCCAAGGGTGAACAAGAGGGATTAAGGTTAAAAACATCCTCTCAAATCCCATTTGGCCTCACAGATGGAATTTCACCGAGAAACAAAAAAAAAAATCTGCTAAAACCCTTGCAGAGTTTCTCCTATCAAGGCCTAGAGCTGGCTCACACACTTGTGGGTCCTCGGGGACATGGTCACACCTTGGTCACATCTCTCCAAAGCTGGCAGAACGTCACTGAGACCCTCACGGTGTTCCTGCTCCAGCTGTGCCAATGTCAGCTGTGCCCAGCTGATGGACACCACCACACAGGTGGGGAACAGAGCGACAAATCCCTTTGGGATTGCAGGAGATGAAGAGCACACCTGGGAACAGCTTCCTGAGAAGAGCAGTGGTCCCTGGCTGTCACTGGCCTCGAGGGCAGCACAGACGTACAACTGAGGAATGGCAGGGCCTGCCAGGCCTGTGTGACAGAGAGGGGGGGGATCCCACAGCTTCAGGTGACACCCCTCACCCGCTGAAGGCCTGAGTCCATGCCAGCTCCAAGCTAAGGGTACGAGAGAGGCACTTCCCGGGGCAGCACCTCGTGGCTTGGCCTAACAGAAACCAGCCCCGCAAACCGAGGTGCAGGAACCCAGGAAAAGCTGCCGTTTATTCAATGCTAGAACCTAAATACTTAAAGTGAAGAGCGACTCCTTCCTCACCTGGAGACAGGAAGGCACACCTGCTGTACACCTGCGCTCACCTCAGGGCTTCTTGAGGCCGCAGGGCAGCCCCAGGGCTGGCTTGGCTGCCAGGGTGGGCGGGGAGTGCCACACGGCCGAGCTCGTGCGCTTGAAGTAGCGCGGTTTGTTCTTGTAGAAGATGTCCTCCAGCTTGGGGCTGGGGATGGCCCCGAACAGCGCGTCCACGTCAGGGGGGTTGTAGTACTGCCGGATCACAGCCTGGCTGAGCAGATTCCCTGCAGGAACAGATGAGGCTTGCGTTAATTTTGTTAATTGAGATTGCGGCGTGTCCCACTCTGCTCATCTCTCACCACTCCAAGGCAGCTCAGCAGTGTATTTGTCGTGACAAGATCCCCAAGTGGTGGAGGAGCCCCTGACTCCACATTCCACATAGAATCATGGAATGGCTTGCGTTGGAAGGGATTTTAAAACTCATCTAAGTTCCAACACCCTGCCATGGGCAAGGACACCTTCCACTAGACCAGGTTGCTCCAAGCCCCTGTCCAGTCTTGGACAGAGCAGTACTCATTTCATGCTGGAGTACTTTAAACTCCTCCAGGCAGAAGGAACTGGGCAAAACCCCACAGCAGCTCCTACAGTCTGCTGGGGGTTCTGGACACACACATTCCCCCCACACACATACCAGTGGCCCAGGCAGGGACGGGCTTGCGTGGCTGGCTCTCGTCATCTGTCGAGTCGTCGCTGTTCAGGTCCATCCCGTAGTCATTGGAGCTTGTCAAAGGCACTTTGAGTTCCTTCCTGCTCTGTGGAGTCATCTCATACGAGTTGCAGGCAGGGGAGTTCTATAAGGGAAATCCATTCCACAGGTGTTGGATGCAGCAGCACTATCAGGCTCCAAGCCACAGCAGGACCAGCTCATCCCCATCTCCTGCTCTGTCACCTCACAGCAAACCCTGAGTCTGGCAGGTCTCAAGTTTGGACCCGAGAGCTTGACCCAAGTTCCAAAGTTGTGATCCAATGATGGCTATGCATGGCCCTCTCCTGTTTAATTAGGCTGATTAATTTGCCATCTCTGGCATAAGCACACAGCAGTAGATTAATCTAACGGGTCTAATGGAACAGAGCTCCACTCCAGCCAAGCCAAGGTTAACTGGAGGTTTTATGTCACTGGAGTAGAGTCACATGCTCTAAACACTCTGCAATCCAACTTCTGGGCTTGATTAATGATATAAAACTGCTAATTGCTGTACAGAGAACCTGCCCACCAGCTCAGCCAAATAGAGCTCACGCTAATGCGAGCTGCATGGGCAGAAAGTGTAAGGGCAGGAGAAAACCTTCAACTGCAAATTTCAGGTTTTTTCAACTGGAAATTTTCAACAGAAATTCTATTTTCAATCAGGAAATGAGTCTCTGGAGAGTTGGACACAGTTGTTCTTCCCCACCAGAGACCCCCTTCATGCTTTGTGTCCAGTGACATTAACTCCCATCTGCTGGTCCTGCACTTTAAGGTTCCGAGCATTGCAAGGAGACAAGAGCCTCATGTTTGTTGTCAAGGTTCAGGACACGAACACAGGCCCTCAGGATTCTCCCGAGCCAAACCACCACCATTCCAAGGGCTCTGCTGCCGCCTTGTGCTGGTCCCAAATTTGACCCGAAATAAAACTTGCAGCACTTTCTGCCCCTGAGGTGCTTCTGGTATTTAAGAGGCGCTTAAGACAGCTCCAACAGCTCCTGTCTTACCCACAGCCAGGAACCCTGCCCAATCCCTCCTGCTTCCCTTCCCTCTGTCACTGAAATACGCACAGAGTCAACCCTAGATAATCAGGATTTAAAGAATTCCTGTGTTATAGAAAAGGCAGATAAAATAGAGGATGGAACTGCCGGAGGCAAGAGTGGGTCAGTGCTGGGACTAAACTCTGCTGTCATCCCTAAAGACCCATCCCCAGTTACCTCCTTGTTCTCCTGGAGTGGTGCCCGGGCATTGTCTTTGGCCTTTTGCTCCTCTGACAGTTTCTTCTGCTCTTCTTCCTGCCTCTTCTTCTCCGCCAGTATCTGCTGCTCCCTCTGCCAAGCGAAACCAAGGGATTGCCCTTAGGGATTACACTGCAAACCCAGCCAGCCATCTTTGTGGCAGGCACAATATTCAAGCACCTCATTAGAGCTGTTTCTGGTGCTCCTGAGGAGCGCTTGGGACATGGTGCAGCTTCCTCAGAAGGGCACAAACACACTGAGCACCATGCCAGAGCATCAGCTGCCTTCTCTGACAAAGCCAAGGACCCCCACCACAGAAAACTTGCTGCTGACTTTATCCTGGGGTCAGAAACCAGCTAGTGATCTTAGCCTCTTTCTAGACTAGTAAACAGTATTTTTTGAGGCCAAGTCTCCCCTTGGTACCGTAACTGTGCCACACAGGTCTGACCTCCTGCTCAGAAGTGCCCCAGCAGCTCTTCAGGGCTCCCCACAGCATCCCAGCTGAGCTGCTCCAACAGCAACAGCTGCTGAGGCCAGACTGTGTGGCTCTATCCCTTCCCAAAAATCAATCACTTACCTCCTTCTTCTCCATCTCCATCCGGAGCCGCTCCTTAGCAGCCGCTTCTTCCTTCTGCAGGCGGGCAGCCTTCTCCTGCTGCTCCCGGAGCCTGGGAACCACAGCACAGGCCCTCACTCCCAGCACCACACCAGGGCCCTCCCTGGCTCACAGCTCTTCAGGCACTCCCCACCACACTCCTGACATCCCCGAGCCCAGAGCTCCTCCTTGGCAGCTCAGCACCAGCAGCAGTCCAGAGCTGTGCTGCCAGGTCACTGCAGCTCCCTGCTGCTCCAGCCCTCCACTCCCGCCCTCTGCTCTGACTGCGTTTCAACCCCATCCCAGAATTTGGTACATAAATGGGGATTTTGCCTTACTTTTCAGCCTGGATGCGCTCCTGCTCCCTCTTCCTCTCCAGTTCTCTCTCTGCAGCCAGCTGTCTCTCCCGCTCCTGCTCTGCCTGCCTCTGCTCAGCGATCTTCCGGGCACGCTCCTGCTCCTCTTCCCTCTTCTTCTGCATCAGCTCCCTGCGCCGCCGCTCCTCCTCCTCCTGGGAGCCCAGGCAGGAGTTACTCACCTGACAGCAGCAGGCTCCAGGGGAAGCACCAGGAGCCTCTCACTTGACCCAAATCCCCATTGCTACACAGCAGGGAAGCATCCTGGGGGCAAATTCCCAGTGCCCAAGGCAGGTGGATCCCCTGTCCAGCTCTGCTGTGGGACAGAACAGGCCCACACACACACCTGCTGCAGAGCTCTTTGTCTCCTGGCCTCCTCCTCCTGTCTGCGCCGGGCCTCAGCTTCCTCCATCTTCCTGGCAGCCACTCTCTTCTTGATCTTCTCCTCTGCCAGCCTTTCTTCCCGCACCTGGAGCACACACAGACCCAGTCTTAGGTAGGACAGCACAGCAGGACCCCTC